GAGAGAATCACGTATGGAATGGTTTAAAAGACTTAATATCTATGAATATATTTTGCTCGGTCTTTAAGATACCCTGAAGGCCAGTTACTATTCACTGAATTCGATTCAATGAAACGAAAACGAGTATGAAATAGAATGAGTTTATTTTTTCTAACGTCAGGCATGTTTCATTCTTTACTGAAATATGAGTATCGGCCACAATCATTACCCAATGTTAAAAAATTTTTAAGTAGAAAAAATATATTCTAAAATTGCAGCGTAAGTTTAAAGTTCAACGAGGACTCTGTGGAAGATTGGACAAGCGAACAGTCTGGTTATTACAGCCATCGTTCTCTTTCCACAGCCAGTGTTTCTTCCATAACGATTAACGCAGCTGAGGACTAGAAATCTGAGTAGCTTGCACAATGACTCATTTCAGTTTTAACTCTATAAATATGACATGTCCTCTTTCATGCCAACTCATTCCAATTAGTGTACTTTGGAGAAGCCACAATGATCTGATCTTCTGACATCTGAGACAACGTATCATATATTGAATCTGTTGAATTAAAAGCAGTGGCTTAGTCTACAGAAGAGTTGAGCTACGATGCAATACGAGTAAAGTCTTTACTAAGCGTAAACACATATAATTGCTTCAGTAAATCTGGTCAAACGGTTTAAAGCAGGCGGTCGTCTGCGAAACTTTGATAACAATGATAACGGTGCCATTTAATGCTAAGACTTACGTACTTTATGGCTATCTTATTCAATAACTTTCAATACTTGCTCCACAAAAAAGTTAACCTGTCAGCCCATGCCAATGCTAAACTCAATACACAGACATAACATGCCAGAGCCCCTAGCTCATGTTGCCTCTAACTCTGGTGCACAATATTCTATCACCGCTTTCACAAAAGTATCGTGTAAAGTACAGTAACCTAGACTGGTGCAAGTGAACGACGTAGAATTAATCGCCTTTCCAGAGGTTGCGTTTTTGTATTGATTTTTCGTATATAGTTCTTATTCCCGTCTGTTTTCAATGATCTCACTGTCGGATGATATCTGTCAGTGTAACATTGTAAAGGACTTTAAGCAAAAAATTTGAAAAGATGTACATTAGTAAATTTTCAAAGAATGGGACCTGACTATAATTTGCCATACTGTAGGAGATAATTTCTTAGAAACAACCTTCCATGCAATGTCTTGGCTGTTGTCCTGCAATTTCTTTTTCTTGAGGGAAATTAAAAATGCATATTATTCTTAAGACTTAATGAAATATCGTTAGCGTTCAGATTTGTTGCCTATTTGATGCCATTCAGCTTGTGCCGAGAGGTCAGCACTTGCTTGGCCAAATCTAAAACGTATAATTAACTTGATAATCGGTTGCTGGTTAAAAGAGTCTGTTCCAAGTAAAGGCTGACAACAAGACTTTAAAATAAACTGGTTCTCGATTTAAGTGCATAATTTTTGAATTTCCCACAAATGACTGTTCAGTTGATTTCAGTTGATCACAAAATTCACCTCTGTTGAAAACACATACATATTGTATTTCTTTTAATGTAGCTCTTTCATTAAATCAAGTTTAAAATGTGATTGAAACCTTTTCTAATTGAATCTGCACATCTACGTTTAGCCAAACGCCAATGTTTTGGTACTTAAAATATAGCCCATTTCATTGTGATCTTAGGAAGATCTGACTGAATCAGTCCTCTGCGTCATTTTTAACGAGAAAACAAGTTTCAAGCATGATCGACACCATTACGAGAGCAGATTAGTCCACTTTTACAACATTGGCCGTAAGCAGGAACGTTTTTGCATGGGTCAATTTTGACATACAGCCTTGATTTTGCGTCGCCTCATGTTCTACGGTAGCAAATCTGCAGGCATACGATGTGAATTGACGGGCGCACCTCTGAACAGTCGAAGAAAAACTCTGACCGATATTTGACGAAGAAGTGACACAGAAACGAGCGCCGCTGCTGCTACCATAGTTGAAAGATTTTGAGACTCGAGGAAACGTATGACACAGCGGTGAATGTACCAGATGGTGAGTATTTCAGACTTGACGTATTGTACTGATAAGAATTTTATGATGGCCCTTATGGTCATAGGACTATGTAATTTCATAAATCAATATTCCTACAATAAAACGATTTTACCTACATCGACATAAATCTTTTCCCTATAGGTTAGGCTGATCTTCTGACTAATAAACTACCAATGAAGCATTCTGAGTAAAAATAGGAAGCTGATTTCCTCATCACCTCTCTTTGTGATTGGCCGCTTTGCTGTGCTCTTGGTTTATTATGCTATTACTTCAACCGATCCAAGGAGGTCAAGTTTATACTTTCTGCCGGTGTAAGAAATTTATCACACCGCACAACTGACAGACAACGTCGCCTTTCGCCACTGCAAAAACCAAGGGTCGAAGAAATGCAAACGCGGGCAGCGATGATTAGCGGTTTGAAAAATGGCATGATTTTAAAATTTTCACAACTCTCTTGCCGCGCTCCTCTGGGAAGACACCAGCTCTGCTATATAGCAAATTTGCGCTGAGCCTTGCCGCCGCTTGGCCATCGGTTAACTGGCAACCTTATCTCTGTTCAGATCTCCAATGGCCATCGATTTATTTTTCAACATCCTCCACTTATAACGCGACAAGAAATGATGGCCAGGCAGCGAATTTAATGTTCGGCTTCTTATTCATAAACCTGGTACTGAGAATCATGTTTGCAAGTGACGAATTGTTACCTGATTTCATCGTCGTCAGCGATGATGCCAGAACTCCTATTTGAAAAAAAGAAATCTTGCACTCACCTCCCAGACTTTGTGATGATCATCTCGGTGCCCAGTTCATGGAACTTCAACCATAAATCCCTTGCCTCAAGCTTGCACTGCACTCCAGCAAATGACTCGCTATTGCCGCAGGCCGGATAAAATGCAATGGCAATCGAGTGGTCCCCGTCGCCGCCATCCCTGCACCCCACGGATCGTGGTGGCTCGTCTCCTTCTTTACAAGATTGTGATTTTTCTTGAACGCTTCCACTGCACGATTCTGCGGGCTGCTGCTCCGGATCTGAGTTTGTATCTGAAACATCTGCTAGAATTCATGTGGCAGGTTGCAGTGTGACACTTACGATTGTCAGCACAGGAGCCC